CAGCTGTTTGAGCTGAGGCTGTTTTCCATCAGGATACCGCGCTGCGGGGGAAAACGAGGGCGATCCGTAGTAATAACAACGCGGCTGCATCGTTCCGGTTCAGGAGCATCGTCTTTAGCTCCCGTCTGCGTATTCCTCTCAATTCTTCCTCCCTCTGTGTTCGGCAGGTGACACTCTCATAGTCGAAGAGGATCCATCCAAACCCAAGGCCGACTCGCCCGTGGTCGCAAAAAGAACGATGTCCAGCGCGGTCAGGGAAGCCGTGCCGGTGCTGGCGAGGAGGGTTGTTCCGGCAGATAACTCCTGTCTCTTCACCAGCGTGTACTACGTGGTGGAGGGAGGCGTTTACGACCCGGGCTGCGCTCCAGAGATGCGCAGCCTTATAGCCCAGATAGTAGCGAGTGATCCCGAATCTTACTGTGAGGCAGTTCTAGGGAAAACTAACAGGGAGTATTGTGACTGGATCAGGAGAGAAGAGACGTGGGGAGGAGCCATCGAAGTGTCCATTTTATCCAAATTTTACCAGTGCGAAATCTGTGTGGTGGACACGCAGACAGTCAGGATCGACCGTTTTGGGGAGGACGCCGGTTACACTAAGCGGGTCCTTTTAATTTACGACGGGATTCATTACGATCCGCTCGAGCGTAAAATTCCCAGCTCGGACGTTCCTCCCCAGACCATTTTCTCCACGACTGATGATGTTGTTCTTGCACAAGCGTTGGAATTGGCGGACGAAGCCAGACGGAAGAGGCAGTTTACTGACGTGAATCACTTTACGCTGAGGTGCATGGTGTGTCAGAAGGGACTGACTGGGCAAGTGGAAGCCAGAGAACATGCCAAGGAGACTGGACACACCAACTTCGGAGAAGTGTGACACCTACATGAGGATGGTTACATCGACTACCTCACCGATCCAGAATAAAATTCTGGGTTTCCCAGATAAGCTGTACGTAATCATAAAATTCCGTTCACAAAGCTTGAAAAGCGTATTAACTTAACGACGGCCAAGACGCACAGGTTTGTTCTGGTGAGTGACTTTTCCAGTGGGTTAGCAATAGGTATCTTCTCGCATGCTAATTTAGAGTCCTTCGGCAGGTGATACACCCTGGCAGCTAAAACTTGATTTCTGAAATAATCTCTTTGCGTATGTGATCTGAGCGGACATACAAACCCAGGCTTGTTCAGCACGAGCCTAAAAATCTAGCCTCTGAGTTGCTGAATTAATCTCTGTGTATCGTGTTTGCAGGGTAATTAATCGAAGGGTTTAGGAAACACACTTAGCAGCATTACTTAAACTAAGAGTTAGACTCTGCACACACGAGCAGTTCTTGCAGGGGAAACTGCTCGTTTGGTGCGTGATTTTTAATGGAAAGAGTATCTCCAAAGCTGCCCTGTGCTATGTGACCATCAGGAGTAGACTGTATTGTTCGTGTGAAGTCATGGCTTTAGAAAAAAAAACCTCTAAGCTTTAAGATAGCCTTCTTTAAATTAGTAGGTGGTTAAGTGTTGAATAAACTTATTAATCCTCCATAGGTAGTTTTTAGTTGCTTGAAAAATAATCATCGACCCCCCCCCCCCAGTGTTTACACTGCATCAGAATATAGGCATGTTTCTTGAAATATTTTGGATTCTTCTTCATAATAGTACCTGAAATTCTGGCAAGAGGGAAATACAGTAGTTAGGGAAGTAACTTAATTTGCATCTGTTAAATACGTTTAAGCAGACTTTTCTTGGGTATAGCTGACCTCGTGGCCACAGTGTTACCGAGCTGTACAAGATTCCAAATACTGTAAATCAGCACTTTAAGGTGCAGTTCTCACCCTTAGCCGGTGAAAATTTTTGCCCTTTTTCAGAAGGACAGAGTGCTAACCCAGAAGGGAGGCTTGAAGTTCCTTCATCTGCATTCTGCCTTAGTGTGTTTGGTTTGTCACCGATGACTGTTCAGTAGCAAGACTTTAATTCTCATAATGAAGGGTGCAGATTAGTTTTCAGAACAGAATAAGCTGCGTGGACTGCCCTACTTCTCGTACTGTTCGGAATCAGGGAGGTGGAAATGGGTTTAATGTATCTCACCTCACAGCAGGGTTGTGAGGCTTAGCAGTAAGTGCTTTTGAGGTCTTTTAAAAGGTGCTGTAAAGGTGCATATTACTGATGGGGATTTTTTTTTTTCTTTTAAATGCCTACAACACATACTTGTTTTATTGAATTTTAAAATATTCTTAGCCTGCTATTCTTCTGTTACTGTTTTGAGCTACTTCATTGCACTTTTACAAATGGAGAGCAAGAATGTGCATCTCCAGACTGAGGCAGAAATAAACCCACTTTCCAGGTGGAACCTGAAATCTAGTTTTAAAGGCCTCCATTCGTTAAGGCATCCGGCTAAACTCCTGGTGCCGCAAAAAATTCCTTTCTATAAAATCATGTTCCACTGAAGTTGTCAGCAGAGGCTCCCAGCTGGACCTTGAAATACAGGAGGGCCTTATGGAAGAAGGAACATAATTACATAAGTGCTTTGCTGAGTTGAGGCATGGATAATTAAGTATAAAGAACAGGATCACCAAGAGCACTATAGACCAGATTTCTTTTTAATTCAGTATTAAAATACAGATTAGCACTGTTGGGAGTTTCCCGTAGAAAACCACTTAGCTCCCAGTGTTAAACCCCACTTTGCTTTTAGCCTATCATTAGGGAAAAAAAGACAAAACCAAACCCCAACATTAAAACCAGCCCTCTAGAAGCTGATGCTTATAAACCTAAAGAAATGCCTGACAATTCCAAGGAACTTGAAGATTACACTGTGTCATAACTACTTGAGATGAAATACTGTCTAGGAATGAGACCAAGAGACTGTCGATCCTATTCTCAGCTTTCACACTGAAGTGGTGGGACGCCTGGGACGAGGAGCTGATCCTCAGCGATTGCCATCTGTAAAATGGACGTAATACCTACCTCAGAGAGGTGTACAAGGTGGCTGTCTTTGAAACAGGAGTGGAAGATACATATTTATTGTCTGCTGTGTTTGCAAATGCATTGACTTTGGGGAGCAACACTTAGATTTTAGCTTTGTATCCTGGATGGATTTCTGAAAGTGCGTGAAAATATTTTTTTGGGGTATTTCTCAGTTGCAGTATTTTTAAAATTAGCTCTATTTAATCCAGAGTGTTTAGCTTTGATATATCATGTTTGCATTGGAAATCTGCTACCAGGGAGTCAGTTCCATTTGAGGGAAATGTGTCAATATCACTGCTTGGATGTTCTATTTTGTTGCCTAGAAAATAAAATCTCTTTGGTTAAAAAATGTCAACTGAACTGCTGTAATTCATCTTTGTAAAAGTTGATGCTGTTACACGCTGACAATCTCTTTCAAAGAGCAAGTAACCCGTGGTATCGACTGTGAGTTGGAAACCTTATGTGATTCTCCTAAACTCTCCCAAACAGAAAGTATCTATGTTATTTAAAATGTAAGATATGGATACGTTTAAAGTACAACTTTTTTTTCTAAATGTTGTAAATGTTTGGGTTTTTTTTAAATATCCTTTTACCAGCGTTTGCCTGCCCTTAATTACACAGTTATGGAAATATCACAAATACACCATCCTGGTACTAGCAGGGTGAACTTCTGAACGTCAGTAGTACATTTGCACTGAACTGTTGTTAATTATACAGCAAGATGTTAGTTCCAGATATTTTAGAATAGAGGTGGTGTGGGGCGTGGGCTCCGCCGCTGGCAGGGACGTGTCCCCTGTCCAGACCAATCCAGAAAGCCTGTAAGATACAGGCTTGTGTCCTTACCATTACTCTTCTTCCTGTTCCTGTTTAAAATGAGCACTCATTTACTTGCTGAACACCTCAGCACGAAGGGGCAGTAGCTAAACAGACCCTGGAAATGGAGATTTTTGCCTCAGGGGTGTGCTTACTAGAAGCTGAGTTATTGGTGGTGTTTTACCAATCTACTTCAGTTAAGTAAAGAGTTCTGGTTTCCTGGTGCCAGTCGGGCCGTTTCGCCAGTGCTAAATTCCTTCTTTAATTAAAGAAGAGCCTGACACGCTCTAATCATGTGGCCTTTCACAAGCATGTTGTATTGTATGAAGAGATAGACATCTCCTGGTTGTAACAGCACTTCCAAAGCTGCTCCGAGTTTACAAGTTGAGCAGATGTTGAGCAAGGGACGTTCCCACAGCAGTAAAACGAGTGGCAGGAGCCCTTTCCAAAAGTCTTACTCACCAACGTAATTCGGTGGTACAGCGTTCTGGTTCGTGTATCATCAGTGCAGATCAGTTGGTACAACACCATTCCTTAAACGTGTGCCCTGGATTGGAAAAACTGTTGATGCACCAATAAACGTGACATGCATGCTTACTTGTGCAGCGTAGTCTGTGCCTCAGTTCTTGAATTCCAGGTTTGTGCCCTAGTCCCTGCTGTGCACCAGTGTTTTCTAGGTCTGCACTTCTGTGCAACGCAGCCTTTGAGCAGTTTGCATCTGCTTTCCCCTCTCATTCCTTTTTTTTTTTTTTTTCTTGACTCTAAGAGACAATCGTGGCAAGAGAGGGACGTGGCCATGCAATCTGTTCAGGATGAAACTTCTTCACTTTCACCTTGTTCAACAATGATAGTAAAATATTTTCTCTGTGCAATTAGAGTCAGGCATCAAGAGGGACAACCATAAAGAGTTCTACGTACCTCCAGAAACTTTTATGCATTAAAATATATAAACCATTAAGCAGACAGGTTTGGGGAAGATTTAGGTTTGGTAGCTGACTGCTTTAGACACAGAGATCCACGTATCGATGGATTTTTGGTGAAATCAGACTGATTTCGCTCGCGCAGCACAGGCAGCACCTGACGGCAGCACCAGCTCCCCCCGTGGGTGAGCCCTGCAAACCTCTCCCTGGCAGGAAAACTCTTTAATAGAGGAGCAAAAAAAACTTTTCAGCGTGCTGTTTTGAAAATTACAACTCTCTATCATACAAATTAAATGTCTGCCTGCGTTTTAAATCAAACTGTGCATCCAGCTGTAGAACTGCCATCAGGTTTCACTCTGCTCTGGACTGGGCAGAATAAAACGACTTCGAATCGACTGAAATCAATAGTGCTTTTTCACTCCTCCGAGTCTGAGCACCAGAATGCTTTCTGTAACAAAAGAAAGCAATAGGGGAGTTACCAAAATTAGTTTGTCCAAGGTTGCAGTATCCTTGTCTATTATTTTTAATTAAAGCCTTGGGGAAAATGCTGGGGAACTGTATCATACCTTGAGACCTGACCCCTCATTTCTGATGTAGCCTTAATGCCAACCAAGCCATGGAAACAATTGGCCTCAGTTCTCTACCTCTTTTCTGTAAAATAGAGATAATAAATAGGGTTCCCTGCTCAGTTCACAGCCCAGTTAGGATTTAATTATTTCTCTAAACTGCTGTGTAATACTAGATATTAACCACTTAGTGTTTTTCATAATCGATTTGTCAGCATCCACACTGTACCTACAATTTGGTCCAAGGAAAGTGTGGAACAGTCCTCCAGAGTCAAATAAACGTCATTACGTCAACAGGTACCTTATCGGTGACGCCACATGGATGCGCTTCCTTCAGGGGCAGGGCTGAATCATTTGTGTCCTTTTGTTTGTGAACAGGGAGAGGCACAACGGGTCTGTTAACATGCCAAAGTCCTTTGGTGGCTTTGTGTAGTTTTCTCTGCATCATTCGACTACTCGCATGCACTTCGTGCCATATGTATGAAATCACGCTTTATTTTGGGTCGTAGCTATTTATATTTGTTGGAGGAAGAGGAACGTGGAAAAAGAACAGGTTCTTTCTGGGTATCTGATTCAGAGAAGCTCGAGACTTCTGAGTCCTGCACTCAGCTCTGCACAACCAGCTGTTGCAACACTGGGGCTGGTGCTGCTGCTCCGAACGTGCCGCGTTCGCATCTCCTACCTCTGCTGCAGGCTGGCGTGGGAGAGCGGGGCTGGCCGGGGCTCCCGGGAGCCTCTGCTCTGCTGGTTTGCTCTTCCAGGCACATGTTCCCTTTCGGAACAGCGCACAGCTGGGGCTCAGCAGCGCTGGTGGGAACCTCTGTGCTTCTGGGCTCATCCTTTCCCTCCATCCTACCACGGCTTTAAATAACTGATGTTTCCACTTCCCTGTTCTGTGCGGCAAGGAACATGCATTGCGACACATCCTTTTTCTAAAAAAAAAAAAAAAAGAATAAAATAAATTAAATCATTGAAGCACAAAAACTTGAAGGAATCTGGTGGCTGTATCAGTTCTGGAAGTTTGCTGCAGGGTTTCTACCTGGATATTTATAGTTATCCAGCGAGGAGCACCTTGCAGAGCAGACACAAGTCTATGCTGGAGTGGGGAGTACCCCCTGGACAGATCGGGTGCTGCTGGGGGTCATTGTCATCCCCTGCTGCCCAGGGTGCTGCGGATGGAATAACTGGGCTCTTCTTTACCTTCCCCCTGGAGAGAGGCAGCAGAGGAGGTGCTGAGGTGGTACCCTCGTCCGCAGAGCAGGGGATGCTGCTGAAGGAGACGCCCCAGCAGCGGTTTCTGAGAAGTGTCGGTGTGAGCGAGGAGGGTGGCTGAGGGCAGGAGGAGTGTGATGGGTGTCTCGGGGGCTTCAGCTTTGCCCGGGCTCTAGGACTCAACCTCAAGCTGCCAAGTGAAGAAGAAAGTTCCCAGTATTAGAGACAGGGGGAGTGAACCCGCAGGGAGTGGTGCCAGGAGGGGCGAAGGGGGACCTGTAGCCAGGCAGCACGTGCGGAACAAACCCTAGAGCTGCGCAGGGCCTGGGCACCCCCTCCTCGAGCACACGGATAGACCTTCCCTTCTAAAATGGCTTTTTACCTGTCTTTACAAGAACCTCCGTACAGCAGCAGGCGGCAAACTTTCAGTCTCTGGGAAAACTTCGGCGACAGGCAAGTACGTACCTGTCCCCGTGCGCTTTGAGAGCCGGGAAGGAACCAGGTCCTGCCCTGGGCTGAGGGACCTCATGCGCAAAACCACCCAAGAGAATAAACCTGTTGTGGGGTGATGCCTTCAGCAGCGCCCGGCGCAAACGCCCGGCGCAGGGCTTAATTAGTGTGTACGAAAGCGCCTCGGTCAGGGCTGCGCGTTGGACGACTCCGCGTGTCAGCCAGCAGCTATGCGGCAGAACAGGCTGGAGGATTGAGGAGTCGCCGGCGAAACCCGTGCCCAGGACACCAGAGGACACCAGCCAAGCCGGGAAGTGAGTGAGCTGGGTGGTACCGAGCAGAGCTGCCCGCAGCCTCCCAAGGCAACGGGCGCTGGTGCTGCCTGCGCCGCCTCCGCCTGCACCGCTGCCGGCGCCGCGCTGGCTCGGAGCAGAGCTGCGAGAAAGGACGGCACGCAGGGACCCGGCTGCTTCAGGGCAGGACGTGAAGCTGGTGTAGGGCTTGGCTGTGCCGTGAGCCCAGCCTGGAGCAGCAGCAATCCTGCTTTGCATGGCCACGAGATGAGTTTCTCGCGCCCCGGCGCGGGGGGCTGCAGGTGAGGGGCCAGGGGCTTGCCCGTGAGCGCGGAT